CGTCACTTGTTCTGTCGCTTCACTGCAGCAAAACCAAGTTGTGGGGAAAACCCTGACGATATGCGTACAATTGAAACCATGGGTTTGAAGATAGCGCAAATTGATGTGAAAATTTCAATTTCATATTAAATATATTTATTAGGGTGCTTTTTTTTGCGACTATTTTTTTTTTTTCGGTCCCATCGTGAAATTTTGTTGGAAATACCCAAAAAAAAATTCCCTGAAAGTTTGAGCCCTTAATATTAATTTTAAGTACTCGGCCAAGGCGTGTGAAGATTTTCCATTTAAAATACACGGGAACTTTGATTTTTTTTTTTTAAATTTCTATAGCTCAGCGGCATTTAATGGTATCACCTTGTCCAAAATGGGGATTTTCTCAGCATTAAATGCTCTACAAAAGTGCCCACTGCGGCGAAGTCGTAACTCACACCGGCGAGGTAGTACGGGCCACTAAACCTGATTTTTTCATGAAATTTACGTTTTTTCGCATTTATCTCGTAAATGACCAGAGCTATAGAAAAAATGCAAATGAGAAACTTGTAGGAAATTTTATTTCCTACAAAAAAGCTCATTAGCGCTTAATCGCTAACTTCAATACTGCTTGAGATATTTCAATTTTAAGTTTATGAAGTTTTAAATTTTTATCAAAAATCACGTAAAATTATAAAAAATATTGTTCATTTATTATTTATCACTACTTTTTTAACTAATTACCTTTTAATATTACATATGTACATATGTAAAAATGTAGTTTCGATTTAAAAAAAATCGGATAAAGTTTTTCTTTCGCCATTCATACACCTCTAATTTTAGTATTTATTAAAAAAAAACTCAATGAAATTCGAAAACTCTATCTTGCATTTGGTTTTACTCAATACCAATTTGAGCTGTCGCAGTGTTATCAAAAAAAAAAAAGTTATCAATGGGTAGGTTCGGAAGGCGCAGCAGTTGAGCGCAACCGTTGCTAAAAAAAAATCAGTGATCGTTATGCGCCTTCTGAACGACTTCATAGATTAGCTGTCAAATTCAACTCTCAAAGGTACACACCAACATGTTGTCTCAAATGATCAGAAAAATATTACGATCATCTAACACGCAACTATTCAGTTGATCAGAAGTACGCAACAACGCGTTCAGAAGGTGCAATCGCACCAGTTACTGAGCTGTTGCGCCTTCTGAACGTGCCAAATGAAAATTCGTTTCTCTTGAAATCAAGTTATATGGCTGCGTATGTATGTATGTACATATGTACATATTCCGAAATTTTTTTTATTTGTAAAGGCTCTCAAGAAAAACTAAAAATTCATATAAAATTACGCACAATAAATAGAAAATAAATTTGCTTCTATAACAAATTTCTTAAATCAGTATGCAGCTCTTAAGAAAAAAATGCTCGTACATCTCGTCGCTACCATGTCCAACTATCGAATGTGAAAATCGGCACTTTTCAAAATTTTGATTTGCCACTAATAATTTTATTTCGTATAGCAGCATTGCTTAAGTTATTGTTGTCGACAACTTATTTGTTGGTTAATGACTGCAAATAGTTTTATAGAAAATTAGAAACGAGAAATAATACTTTCATAAAAATTTAAGTACATACATATGTACATAGATTTAAAAAGCTGCTTGAATACAAAAGTTTTATGAAAATGTCACATTAAACAACTGTCTAAATCTACGTTATTTTTTATAAATAAGGCCGTAAACATTTCCTTACATCGTCAAATTCCATATTCTATTTTTACTCTTTCAATTTCACTGACCAGCGCCGCAAACGATATCTACTAGTAGGCTAACAACCAGAATTTTATACGCAAGTACTTACCGTACTACAAGTATACAGAGAGTAGATTTGCTACTCCCTTTTGGCAGCAGCAAATATCTCGCGTACGCGATGAGAGAAAGTAGAGTACGTACTTTGGTGGAGTAATAGCAAGTACGTCAAGTATTTACTCTCTCAACGCCAAGTAGGGTATGTATGCGGAACAATAGTAACAATGTGTTGGGAGTAGAGTACAATGCAAGGAGTACTTATTGAATGAAATGCGGCAAGTACAATTGCGCTGGACTCTAATATGTATGTATGTTTCTTACATGCTTTTGTGTCAGTTTTTCTTTTGTCTTTATTGTCTCTATGTTCACGCAACTGTTTCAATGCCTAGGGCGTGATTGTCATATTCTCATTTGTGTTAACCTTTCATTTCATTTTTCACTATACATGCACTGCTTTATTGTTGCCCTTTAACAATTTGCCATTTAAAGTTCATTTTGTACGCTTTTGTCATTTGTTATTCTCTTTAAGCCAATGCATTCGCAAATACACACACCTACAATTACTGTAAAAAAATAAGATAGTAGGCGTACGCCATTAATTATTAAAGAGATGTAATTGTCATTTCCGTTGCAAATTCAATTTCCGTTTAGTTAAGAGTACAGAGACTTTACAAAGTAATAATTTTTTTAAGTTTGGTAGTGAGAATGTGGAAGAGGCAACTCAAATTGAGACTGATTTATAATTAGCATTAGTTTAGTGATTTATTCCATATATATATATATATATTAGGAAAATATCAGGTTTGGTCAGGTTCAGTCGGGGAATGCAAAGTTATATTAGAAATAGTCAGTTTGGCCGGTAAAAAGTGCTCACTGCTTTATGGGGAAAAAATTGATATTTTCGGAATAAAGTTTGAATATTGAGATATCAGCCCAAAATTTGTTTTAGATTATAGAGTTTTGAGTTGACCTAACAAATTTTATTCGATTCGAGGCATTACATCATATAGCCGTCATATGGCCGATTCGGCCGACTTACATCAACTTCGTTTTATTTTATGCTATATTATTGAAATTTGTTTCGCAAACTTTGGACTTCTGAAAAGAGTTATCTATTTGGTGAAACGTATGAACTGCAAAGTACTTAAGTTTCACTCTGTAAAAAGTTATATTTCTTGCTCCTCGCGCATGCATAGCTAAACACGCATTTATCTAAAGAAATGCGATTTTTTCAAAAAGGGACAAAAAGGGACAAAATGAGGCAAGAATGATTAGTTATATATTAATCTACCCACTTTTGTTAATAAGTTGTCATTTCCAACGCTTTGCACTAGCCTGCCCTTTAAAAGTTATTGTCTACGAAAAACGATTACAATTGTTATGTTCAATCTAATACTATCCATAGCAAAAAAAAAAAAAAACATTTCACAATCGGACAACAAAACACAATAATAACTAAAGGGCCATCAAATAATAATTTTACATATCTGGACCATAATAACAATTTTTAAATGATAAACTTTTGAAAGAACCACACTTAAAGTTTGAAAGAACCACACTTAAAGTTAAGTAATCAATCAGCTGACTTTGAAAGCACTCTAATGAAAAAGTACTGTCATCAGGATTCAATTTGAAAAAGTTTTTTACAAATTGGTATATTCAGATTTGGGAAATATGTAATTTCTTACGCTGATGATCTTGCCGTGGCGGCATTTGGTAAGCATCCCCGGTTCTATGTGACCTAGTTCAAGGCGCCTTTTGCGTCGAGTATACCTGGTTAAAAGAAGCAGGCCTTAGTGTCAATCAGGCAAAAGCAGTCATGGTTCTTTTTTTCAAAGACACCTGTCCGGCTACAGCTTCCTTCCTTAAACGGCATTGCGCTTACTTTTTCGTAGGATGATAAATATCTGGGCGTTGTTCTCGACAGAAAGTTTACTTGGCGGCCCAATAAACAAGAGAAAGAGATGGGAATGGAAGCTTCACTTTGTGAACTAGATATAAACAGCGTTGTGAGTCCCATTCTGCTCTACAGCATCACGGTTTGGTGGCCGTCCGTAGATAAGTATATATTAAGAAACAAATTAGCACAGTTTCAAAAGAAGGCCACCGACTCAAGTCATAGAGACATTGCCTCACTTTATACCTATAGGTTTATGTGGTAAACTACAAGCAAGAATTCTGGAAGCTCTTCCGGTAGACTTCACGCGCCCGGACTACAAAGGTCCACCTACTAAATACTGGACTTAATAATCACTTCCAGACAATGATACCTTCAAGGGGCGAATGAGAGGAGATTTCAGTCCGGATCTCGTATTCTGACTCAGCTGCCATCCATACTGATAAGCTGGATCTAAAGGTAGGAGGTGGAACATGCTCGCAAGAACTCTCTCTTACTTTTAGTTTTCGTCAACGAGATATCTGTAGCGTTTTTCAAGGCGAACCAACAGCAATCGAAGCAACGAAGCTGCAAGATGGCTGATCGATGCTCTTATTAGTCTGCATGCGGTAACTATCTTTTCTGATAGCCAGGCAGCACTTGATTGTGACAAATCTAAATCGAAGAGCTGCCGAGGAGTTACGTCATTGTATGTTGTGTGGATGCCAGGCCATTAAGACATACCAGAAAACTGTGTTGCAGATGAACCAGCAAGGAAAGGAACATTCTGCTATGCTCCTGAAAACTCTGGCTAGCGAATAACTTTATCGACCGGGCAATTACATGAGCCTACATGGAGGATGCAATACTTGGTTGGATACGCGTAAATCTCGCCCTCTCCTCCGCTTGGAGCGACCACTGCTCCGACATTTAATTAGAGTTCTGACCGGGCACTGCCTGGTGCGAGAACCCACGCTGCTAGAATGGGTTTGAAGGCAAACGCGGAGGAAATTGAAAGCGTTGAGCATTACTAACGCTACTTACCCGCTCAGGCGAGGGCTCGTCCACTCTTCTCCATAATTTAATTTTTGTTTTCTTCAAAGAAATAAATGTTTTTAGTGAAAATCACTAGGTTAGAGTTTATTTGCTCTTATTTCCTTCAAAGTACTTACCCGCGCGCTGATAACAAAAGCGATCTCTGCAAATAAAATTACATACATACGTTACAATAACACTGTTCAAGAGCCGCTGGCACTTTAGTGCCAAAACATTTCCCATTACATTTTAATAACATTTAAAGCACACTTGATTGTTATCAAATAAAAATGTGCAAATGCCTGTTATGTGCTAAATCAATACTAGATAAACGATACGTAGCTGAAAACACTCAAAGAGCTATCTTACAAACTCGCAAAAAAATCACCCTTCCAACAGATATAAAAGAGTCCAGTTCGCAGCGGCTTGACATAGTTTAACTACAGAAATGAAAATAAAAGAATCTAAGCGATCACTCGGAGCGTACGGAGCGCTTTTGATCCTTTTCGCTTGTAACTGCTGCTTGGCTTGCAATGATCGGGTCGCAAGCGGCACGCAGGAGCAGCAGAAAGATTGGTGGCAAACTGCGCAGTTCTATCAGATCTACCCACGTTCCTTTATGGACTCGAATGGCGATGGTATTGGCGATTTAAAGGGCATCACCTCGCGTTTGGACCACTTGAAGGATATCGGCGTCACTGCTGCCTGGCTTTCACCAATATTCAAGTCGCCAATGGTCGATTTTGGCTATGATATATCAGACTTCTATGACATTCAGGATGAATACGGTACTATGGACGATTTTCGTGAGTTGGTTGCTGAAGCAAATAAAAAGGGGATTAAAATCATTTTGGACTTTGTGCCCAATCACTCGAGTAATGAGAGTGAATGGTTCAAAAAATCGCTGCGACGTGAACGCGGCTATGAGGACTACTATGTTTGGGCCGATGGCAAGTACGATGCAGAAGGTAATCGCATACCGCCGAGTAATTGGGTAAGTGTCTGCATGAAACTTTCGAAGTTGCAGTTGCAATTTACCGGTCCTCTTTTCCATCGTACGCTTGCAGCTTCAGTCATTCCGCGGCTCCGCTTGGGAATGGCGCGAGGAACGCCAGCAATACTATCTACATCAATTCGCAGTTCAGCAAGCGGATTTGAATTATCGAAATCCCGCCGTTGTGGAACAAATGAAGCGCATACTACGCTTTTGGCTCGATCAGGGCGTCGCTGGTTTTCGCGTCGATGCAGTGCCGGTGCTCTTCGAAGTAGAACCGGATGAAAATGGCCAGTACCCCGATGAAGGCGTGAGCGGTGCTACTGACGACAAGGACGATCGTGCCTACTTAAAGAATGAGCTGATAGAAAACCGTCCAGAAACCATCGATATGGTGTACCAGTGGCGCCAAGTGATGGACGATTATCAGCGCATTCATGGCGGTGACACGCGTGTGCTACTAATTGAAACCTACGCTCCGCCCGCTTACACCATGCAGATGTACGGCAATCGCTCAGTGGAGGGTGCGCATTTGCCGTTCAATTTCAATTTGATTACCGGACTAAAGCCCGACGTGACGGCGCCGCTCGTGCAGCAGGCGATCGATCAGTGGCTGAATAATATGCCAGCGGGGCGAACAGCCAACTGGGTTGTAAGTATGAAAGAAAGAAAACCAAGTTAGCGAGTTAGCGATCGCATGTTTATACACAAAACTATTTCGATGTTTACAGATCGGTAATCATGATCAGCGTCGTGCGGCCAGCCGCTATGGCGCTCAGAACACCGACGCGATGAATATGTTGGTAATGATTTTGCCAGGTGCAAGTGTAACCTATCAGGTGAGTGTGTCACGCGTAGTTCTTTGGCTCAGCTACAACACTAACACTTAACAATAAAGGGTGAGGAGTTGGGCATGATTGATGGTGTGATTTCGTGGGAGGACACCGTCGACCCTGCTGCCTGCAATTCGAACACAAGTATATACGAGAAATTCACGCGTGATCCATCGCGCACGCCATTCCAGTGGAGTGCGGGCAAAAACGCGGGTGAGTTTTTTGGAGTTCTACATAAACTTCAAAAAAAAAAATTCATCTTTGCCAGGATTTTCGAGTGCGGCGAAGACTTGGCTGCCACTTGCACCGGAGTACGAAACACTAAATGTGGAGGTGGAGAGCTCCAGCGCGTACTCGCATTTGGCGATCTACAAGTCTCTGGTAGAGTTGCGCAAGACATCGAAAACGTTGCAGAATGGCGCGTATAAATACAAAGCGCTTGATGATGGCGTTTTCGTCTTGAAACGGTATATAGTGTAGTTTTTTCTTGTTTTCGCCATTTTCATTGTGTGCGTTCGGCTTTTCAGTTCTCTGGCTGGTGAGGAAACTATTGTGTTTGTTGCTAATTTAGGTAACGCAGCTAAAACTGTTAATTTACAAACCGATTTTGACACATATCTGCCGAATGCAATGAACCTTAAAATACTCAGCGCAGATTCCTCGAAGACTATTGGGTGAGTGTGCAAGGGTTACAAAATTAGAATTTAAAGAGCCAAGGTTGTGATTGTATATCTTCTTACTCCATAGTGCTGAAATCAATTTGACTAGGTTGTCCTTGGAATCTGGCGAAGCGCTGGTGCTGGGTCGGCGTTGAAATAGCTGATTCTCATTTTTCTGCTCAATATGAAATTATTGAAAAAATAAAAACTATAATTTTTGTATTTGAAATCTGTAAAACAAAACTGTTATTTCTTGTTCAAATTAGTTTATTTTATTCAGAATTTTAATATGTTGATTTTTTGCTTCCATATTTCATATGTAGTAGTAATAACCGTTTCTGCATACTTAATTTATGTAGACAAATTTATTTCTATTTATGTATTTCAAATTGAATAACTTTAAACAGTTTACATATACATAGATATTAATAATTTTAGGTACTCACTTGCATTTAGATTACAAATCATAATTTAACCTATTATTCACTTACAACCAAACGTATTTACATGGAAACATTTATTTAAGTTTTTTTGTGAGTTTTTTTTCAATTAATTCAGTTTGCCACAACTCATTTGCATATTTTTACATGCTTTAATGCAGGGTTTTTTGTATGCATTGTTGCACCTTAAAGTGTATGTAAATAGCACATACATTAAAATAAAAAAAAATTTATAATTTATGTTTTACCCTTATTTACATGTTTTAGTACAAAGTTGGTACAATAAATTATTTAACGCAAACGGAAAAGTATGCTACCAAATAAGGTCAAATGTGCTTTTATAAGGAAGTAGGGTCAATGCTATTTTATTTAAATGAAATGGTACTAGTAAGCTTAACATTTTACAAGTACATACTATATTTAAAACTATAAGGAATATTGCAACGCTTTCAATTGTAGTTATTCTTTATTTATTTTTAATTACTAAACTATCGCTTTCACAAGCCATGCATATTTACATTTTCCACAATTCCTAACAACTTAAATTTAAATTTTTAGTGGAACACACTAATATTACTGCACTAGTTTTAGTTTTGTAAAGCGAAGTGGTTAGAAAGGCAAATTTCGTTAAAAAGTAAACTGCAAAAGAAAGTTATGAGTTAAAAAAAAAAACAGACTAAGAGCTTTAAAGCTCTTTGTTCGCAGCAGCAGCTTTCAGCTTTCATCGCTGTAAGCTCACTGCTTTCGCGCACGGAACTTGCTTACATTCCCAGTGGGAAAATGTAATGTATAGTAATCGCAATGCATTTTTCCCCCACGGCGTTATCCTAAGAAAAGTGGGACATTCAATTTTCCACTATCTAGTATCGAGAAATGAATGTGATTTAATATGAAATTTTTGCAAATTTTTGGATAAATGAGAACGCGGATTACATAGTTAATAGTAATAGAATCGAGAACTCATAAGAAATACATTACACTTTTTATCACGCATGTAATGCATTACTACTTTTCCGACTGGGTTCATATCATATATAAGATCGGTAAAGCTTCCGCCGCTTGCTTTTCATTAAAACACAATTCCAATTAAATTCATTGCGTTGTTGGGCTCAAACAACAGAATAAATTTAACTGCTATCCACTGCGTTATTATTTAAATTTAAACAGGCTTTTTATTGGTGCTTTTGATTAGGTTGCAGAAGGGATAATTTTATTTGAATATTTCTTTAGATACCCTAGTCTTAATTTTTGGCGTCTACCATCTATGAAATTTATTTATCCTTAATACTAGTTGCTATCCCTTTTGTAACAAAATCGTCTTATCATCATTTTGATTTTTTTTCACAAATACTCAATTAGTTTGTTGTTACAACAGACTTACAAAAATATGCAAATACTTATACTATAACAATACACTCCATTTTCACACAAAAATTTTTTCTACAAATTTTATATCTAAATAATATCACATTTTTAGCGTAATATTTGCTTACATTTTGATGTTTTAGCTTAATAAAAGAAATATGGTCTGTGGTCTGACAAAAATTTATCGATAAAAATGTTGAGAGTGGCTACACAACACAACTTACTAAAGTAGTTATTGGTTATCGCAAAATGTATGCAAAATTACACTTTCAGATCAATGTTGATTTCGGCTAGAAAATTAACGTAGTTAATAAAGCACAGGATGGGTGGATTCCAAAACGTCAAAATACAAAGCATCAGTCTCTTTAGCCAGCCAGTTCATGGTTCAATGAAATCTCTGGCCGTTCAGTTATCATATGCACATCAGTGAGTCACGGGTATTTCAAGAAGTGTTTGCCATCCAAAGGGCAGCACGTAATCTCACTTAGAAACCTAGAGAGGGCATCTTCTGTAGCAGCCAGACAGCCCTCAATGCTTTACACTCACACATAGACCTTACTGAACACATCTCTGATCGAGATAGCCCTTATATATAGATGGCCTTATTCATAAAAAATAAAGTAGCTTTAAAAAAGGTTTATAAACTAAAAAATGTATGAAAATAGGATTGCAATTCAAAAAATGTGCCTACAAAATCAACACTGGTTCGGACCCAACGAATTTTTGATAAAGTAAATGAACCACAATAGCGCCAGAATAAAGGCTACTACTTATTTATTTGCGGTGACAACAATGTTCTATAATAAAATTAGTACTTATAAATCAGCAAGCAGCAGTTAAATGAATATACATACATATTTTCCCTAACACAGGTGTACATTCCCTCAAAAAAATTATTGCTACTCAGCCAGCAGACCACAGATCCATTGAAGTAATTACCAACTGTACCAGAAAGTATAGAGTTTTCAACTCTTCTCAGCACAAAGAATTGTGATACTAAGATAAAGCTGGATAACGGGCCTTATGAACAAAAATGAAGTGACTGCTTTTTCTTAAACTGTCAGATATTTTACTTAAATTTATTTGAATAAATCGAGCAAAAAGTTCTGAAATTTTAAGAAAAAGCAATTGCTAAGTTGTGATTCATAGGACCCAATGTGAAGTTAATTACCATTTCCAAAGTGGAGAATTAATTCACATTCTGTAGTTTTTCAGCGCTCACATGAAAGAGAATACTTAACTCTTCCACGCTGTTAAAAACTCACTTAACTTACATGCGTTTAAGTATTAAATATTCCAAGTGACTTTTTTACTTAATTATAATTTTTTCTAACTTGGCTACTCTAGTGGCTCACTTAACTAACTAAATTCATTTTAATTTCTTTACATCTGCTATTTATTTATATAATTTTTGCAAGTTCATTAATTAACAATTAAAGATATACGATTTTATACACAACCTTTACCACCACTCAAATAGGCTCGTAGGCTGGTATGTGGCTCAACGCCGCTAACTATGCTTCAAACTTAAGAAATAAGCAGTCAATTCTCAATTCATTCAAAACAAGTTTTACTCAAAATTTTTACTTCTACTTACTTTATGTGTACTTTTTAGTACGTATGTACGTTTGTATTCATATATGTATTTGTGTATGTACCTTGCGAAATGCTCATGAAAATGACTTTCTTTTTTTCACATACACTCCCACGCGCCTTCGACACATCCGCGCACTCTCATACGGGGATGGCACAGCGCTTTTTGCTACTGGAAGCATTCACGCTGCTGCTGACGGCATTGATGGTGGGTTGACCATTGCCACTGAAGTTCCCCCTGTTGCTGGTGACTGTAGTGGCGTTCATTGTGCCGGTTGCGGCGCAATTGTTACCACCACTACCACCACCACCACCGTCACTGTTGTTGTTGCTGGTAGTGATCGCATGTTGGGTGGCAGCATTATTGCTATCGTTGTTGTTATTGTGCTTGTGACTTTCACTGCAGCTGCCGCATTTCGCTTGCGCCTCAGCAGCAGCAGCGCAGCAGCTACCACAGCCACCTATTGCTTTTTGTGCTGCGCTGCTGGTGGCGACGGAGGTGACGGCGTCTGCGTTGATAGCCGTGATATTTTGCTCGTTTAGCTATAAATTCGTTGTGGCAAATTGCGTTTTGCTGATTTCGTTGGAGGGCAGCATATTGCTGCCACTAGTTGTGCTTACGTTACTGCTGCAATTTTGCTGCGCAACATGTTGCTGCAACATTACGTGGTTGCTGAGCGCATGCAATGGCGGTGGTGACGTTACTGGGCTATTTACTGCGATAACTGTCGCTGACAGTGCTGCAGGCGGTGTTCCCGATGTCGCTACTGTTGTTGTGGCTGATGTTGCATGCGCTAGAATACTGGGGTTGCCATGTTGCAGCTGATTGATTTTATTATTATTAGCCACCACTTCTGCTTCGCTTGTGGTTTCGTCTAATGGATGGGATAGTGGTTGTTGTTCTTGATGATTGTTATTTGGCACACATTGATCCGCATAGGGGATCTGACTGTAAGCGATACTATCTAAATTTGTGAGTATATTCGTTATTGTGATGGTCTGTGTGGCCATCTCGCAAAGTTGTTTCGATTTGGTGCTGTGCTCTGTGGCGACGAGAAAAAAGTAGGGGAGAAAAGGCAAAAATTATGCATTTAAGCATGGCGGTAAAATTTCTAGGACAATTAATGTTACTAGTGTTCGGCGAGCGGTTGAAATTCAACCTTTTAAATTAAGGGGAGTTAAGGTGGGCGAGCTGAGCCGCGTTGAGTTTAGTTAAGTATTAAAGTGAATTGAGGTGAAATGTGTTAAACAACATAACAGAATATAACATAACATAACATAACATAACATAACTTAACACAACACAACACAACACAATGCAATAAAACACAACACAATACAACACAACAAAACATAACACAACACCACTCGCAACACATTATAGCGTAACATAACATAACGTAATATAACATAACATAACATAACATAACATCATAATATAACATAACATGCCATACCATAACATAACTTGATAACATAACATAACTTTACATAACATAATATAACGTAACATAACATGACATAACATAACATAACACCACATAACATTACAACAATAACGTAACATAAAATAACATCATAACATAACATAAAATAATTCAGAACATATCACAGCATAAGATAACATAACATAACACTACACAAAACAATAAAACACAACACCACACAACACAACACAAAACAACACAGTACAATACAACACAACAGAACATAACATGTTATTCTTCAATTTTATCTTTTTCTTTTTATCTTTTTTTTGTCTCTACATTTTTCTCTATCTTTGTCTCTGCCGTTTTTTATCTTTTCATTTAATTAAACCTCTCACCTGTATTCGTTGGTGTGATATGCTTTTGTATCTTTTCCTCTTGCGCACAAGTGGCCGCTGTCACCACAGCTGCAGCCATCATGGAAGACGGGCCGGTGCCGGCAGTGCGATGCATGTTGCCGTAGCGTGGTGGCATCATGCTTTGTCGTACGTTACGTTCGGGTCGTATGAGTATTATGTAGAGCTGAAAGTGAAATGTGGGTAAAAGAAAAAAAAGAGAAAATACTTTTTATATTAATCTGGCATGCGAATTCAAAGTCTAAAAGATTTTAAAATAACAGCAAAGATGGTAAAAGTAAAATAGTTATGTGAAGCCAAATAAAAAAGAAAATTACTCGACAAATAAATAACCTCCTGGCAGTTAAAAAGGGTGAAAAAAGTAGACGGAGACAGCTGCACAATTTTAGGTAAATTCCATAGATAATTAAATGCAATTAAATGTGGGTAAACCATCTAAAAATCCCGCAGAAATAATGCTCATACTTTCTGAAATTAAATTTTTCAAGTGAATGAAGAAATAAATAAAAATCATAAAAATTTTCCAAAATATACTCCCGCAAAGTACATATCGTCACCTGAAATTCAAAAAGTTGTACCGAATAAAAAATTCAAAATTCAGTTTTTGATTGATATGTCCATCATATTCAATCGAATTACATATCCCAAAATATTTTATGAAAAAAAAAAAAAATTATTAATCACGACTTTCTACATTTCAGTTACGATGTTGTTACGTCTTTTTGCATTTCAGGTGTCGATGTGTATGAATTCATTCGGCAGTTTTTTCTATATTCATTATTCTATGATAATATTCGTATATATTTCTAAAGCATTTTGCTAAAATGAATTTGTTTTTTTTTATCCCTTTTTTGTTTGATTATTTTCTTTGCTTTCACACATTTTGCAGTAATCCATTGGGGCATAAAATATCTGTCATTTTATAACAACTTTAAGCCAAAATTTAAATTTGACCTTTGCAGCTTCACTATGAACACATGTTTACATGTAGTTACATATATACTTACATATGTACATATGTGCAATATGCTCCTGGTCAATTGGAATCGAATTCAGATTTTAGCCTTTATTCACTTATATGTGTCTTTTTCAAGTCTTTCAATTGTAAATGCAAAAATAAATGTACATATCACTAGCGTAGAGAAAATAGTTGCTAAGTCCATTTCTACAAATCAATTATTTTGCAAAACCTAGAATTTTCGTTTTTAAAGCAAAACAAAACTCCATACGATTGAAAGGATTCGATGTTAATTCAAGCTTTTTTTTTTGGTCTTTGAAAATTCGCTTTTCATTGAATATACATAGGCGGGAAGAAATAAAACAATACCCTTAGTGCTTTTGCAATTTCTCTTGCTTTCTTTGTCAAAATATGTCTTTTCACAAAATTTGGGCCTAGCAGCTGCTTTTTGCAATATATGCAACAATTTTTATTCAAATATTTTTCCACCAATTTTTCATAAAAATATGGTTCATTCTACGAAAAAGCAACAAAAAACGCGAAAACTCAGCAAACTTTCATGAAAATTTTAAACTTTTTAATCCGATTTTTTAGAATTTTCTTGAGTATGTAGTTTCTAGTATAAAAAATGCAAGTTCGGTTTCGTATCGATTTTTGAGAATTTTTTTTTGTTAAAGGTGTTTTGCATTTTTTTCCGTATAAAGTGTTTTCGATTACTTAGAACTTCTATGCTATTACAATAAAATTGATTGGGCTACAAATCTGTATACGCACAAAAAATTCTAAAAAAAACTGATAAAAAACTTTAAAATTTTCATGAAAATTTGGTGAATAAACCTTATTTTTTTAAAAAAATTAGCATAAAAATAGTGGAATAGAAATTGATGCATATATTGTGCAAAATTCGCTGTGTCAATACCTTTTTTCTCACAGTGTATTATATTATTTTTTTCAATGTTATACACTTGTACAACCAATTGAATAAATAAGACCGTTTAATAGAAATACGATTATTCGAAAAATTCAAATGAATTGAGCATTATTAAGAGGTACTCGATAACATAATTTTATATTCAGATATTGTAAATTTTTTTTTTTTCTTGTCCGTATTTTAGTTGAAGCAGTCCATAAAATATTTGAACTGTCAAAAAAAAAAATATAAATTACTCAAAATTATCTTTTGAACCATGTACCGAGTAATACTTAAATAATAGATTCAACAATTTTATAATGAGCTCGAGGCCATTTTT